GAATATTGCATGTTGCAAGAAGTGACAAGAGTTTCAAAAAATATGAAGACAGTTATAACGAAATCTATTACAGCTTCCTGAGATACTCTATACTCACATAAACATTTTGCAATCGACTAATACTTTCTTTCTGGGAAATAATGGGAAATAAAAACGTGATATAATACGATAAATAGATCTACCTTGTTTTGTGCTAACTTGATAGGTCACGCTGGTCTGTACAGTGACATCAATATCCGGTGATGATGTTACTCCGAAACTCGCAGCATCTGCCTTCGCCGATCGTCTCTTTGCTATCGATTTCTCGCCTTCCACGCCGGGTTCCGGTTCCGGTTTGGGTTCTGGTTTCGGTTTAGGCGTTGAATTGTCGACGGGTTCCGATTTCGGTTCCGGCTGCGGAAGTGGTTCAGGGAACATATCCTTAATCATAGGGAAAGATCGGCAACTTGGACCGAGATCGCTAGGTCTCCATCCGATGCCAATCCACGTTGTGGAGTTGGCTACAAGAATGCCTTCCAATTCCTTGCTCTCCTTCAATATCCGCCAGTAGAATATAATATCGTCGGAGAATCGCTTCACCGAATACACATCCAAGTTTACGTCGATGCTTCTCACCGGTGATCCTGAAAGTGGAATTATTGATAGAGTAAGAACGATTGTCACGGACGGTTTCACCGCAAACTTATTGAGACAACGTTCGATATGGTTTGAGATCTTTTTAATCGCTTTTTTTTCATTTGATGCCAGTGCTCGCTCGCACTGGCAACTATTAAATGATTAAATGAAATCACTTCTGTTTCTATGGATTCATTAAAAAAGTAAAGGATCATCAGTCTTTAGCTAATACAACGTGATCGAGAATGGATAGTTGCGAATAAAATTAGTTATTAAATCTCACAACAAATGTAAATATGTTGAATAATTTTTCACATATATTAAAGAATATGATAATAATATTTGTTATGTAAATTTGCTAATTTTTAATACGTTATTCGCTATATCTAAAATGCAATTAATAAATCAGAAGTTTAATACGCAAAAAAGAAAGGCGATTGATAAAATTAATTTTTTCAAGGCAATTGACATATAATTTTATAAATATTTAAAAGTTCTATTAAAATGTGTTTTATTTTCAATCACTAATAAAAATATCACTATATGTTTGATGCAATTTCAAGAGAATCATTTAAAAAGATTTAATTTAACATAAGATAAAAAATAAAAAGATATAAAAAGCACAAAGTTCATAACATTTCGTAAAAAAAACTCTTATTTTTTATATGTTAATATTAGAAAAGAAATCAAATTCTTTCTTTTTCTTTTTCCAATCGTCTACATGTTTGATATCAAGATCAGCGAGAGCTGATATCGGTTCGACTCTAGAAGCGGTTGTCGCAACTTATGCAAGAAATTCTCGAAGGGAAATTCTTACTCTTTGCGCAACCCGGACCGAACCATCCGGCGTCACAGTAGCACTGCTTGGTAGGCACGGTTGTGCCACCATGGTCGACGCACGTGCCCAGAATACCGCAGTCCGTGTCGTCCACACACTCCTCCTTAATTTCGCACCTCGGACCGTGATAGAGACGGTCGCACCTGCACTTGCCTACCAGGGGACGTCCATGACCGCTACAGTTTTCTTTGTAATCCACCCTATCGCGAATCTGGTTGGCGGAAAAATTACATATTTTACAGACCATCCGAGTGGAAACTCGGAGAAACTCGGAGGAGAAGGAATTTTGCGAGAGAATTTGTCATTAATTTCATCTACAATTGTTACAGGATGAGACATAAGATATGAATTGTCCTAAACAAAATAACATCAAAGTATCTTAATAACGTTTTAATGACGTCTTTAACATCAAGACATTAAATAAATCATTAAAACGTTACCTTACTACTTAGACAAAAATGTTTGGTTGGATTAATTGAAATTCTGATTGAAAATAGATGAATCAGAATTTTTTGGTTAACTCTACTAAAATTCTAGTTGAAATAATCGGAATTCTGATTGATATAACCATTAGACACATTAAAAGAAAGTTTAAAAAATTCCGTAATAAAACATGATTATACATTATAATAATTAAAATAATTAAATATATTGCTAATTGAAAAAATATAATTTTTAATGATACATTGTCAATTCAAACAAAACTGTCAATACCAAAATATCTCAATAATTTATTAACAATTTTATATTTTTGTTTTTTATGCAACTTTTTCGTATCATTTTTTTTAGTTTTGTTTAATAGCGAGTAAAACACACAACGTGTTAACATCGCAATGTATCGTGCTACAATTTCGTTGCTCAATTTCATTTTCCGTCGTTTCTCTCATCAATTAAATTATTCTGGATTTAATCGGGTTAAAAGCTGCATTTTCCAAGAGAAATCACGAGAAACTCACATCGATGTCAGCGCACGACCAAAATCTGTAGCTGGAGCCCCATTCCTCGGCCTCCCGTAGCAACCTGATGGTGCAGTCCGTGCAGGTGAAATCTGGCGGCAGTTGCACTGGATACCTCTGCGCCCTGGAAAATCAGAAACATCAGGCTTAATTAGGTAATCAGGCTCGAGAAGAAAGACGCATCATCATATACTTATACTTTATACTTACGTCGCATCGCCCTCGACAAACTCGCTGTTTTTTGTGGTGGGCGTCAAGTCGATCAGAGGTCTGTCATAAAAGTCTAAGATTTGAAGACGAAATCCTCCCTAAAAAGAGTGAATAAAATATATTAATTTTAAAAAATAAATAGACGTATAAATATGTAATAGTTTAAATATATTTTTCGTAAATATATCTTTTTAAATAAATCATTTTTTCTTTACTTTTCTTTACTTTTCACGCACATTTATTTTATTTCAAAATCTTATCTTAATTGTCGTAATTATTGCGCTACTCAACATTAAAAAGAGGATCAACAGAAGGATTATATTTTTGTGAGGAGTAAATCCGTGCGCCTGTCACGTATCTAGGAAATGAAGAATATGCTCCACAAGTCGTGAACTGAATGTCTGTCCATCCATCCATTTCTATTGTGCCCATTCATGCCATTCCGTTAAATTTATGGCTTTTTCCTCCTGAGTTCCGCAATAAATGACACATCAGAACAAGGCAAAGCTGCTGTATAAGTACAGCGGCTTCGATACCAACCAATACGGAATTGATGCAAGCAAATTCCGGTCGTACAATTTCTCGATTTTTTTTCCCCCCTTATAACTTGTCGAGTTGCAGAAAACATCGCAAATAATTCGTTCCGTCGCCGTCAATTGGCCACGCTATCCTCAATAAATCAACAATAACGGATCAAAATTTCTCTGCTTTGAGTTTACTGGCACAACTAATGTTATTATTCTACAATTTTTCATTGACATGTTAGTAATGACTATATTAATCTTCTAACATTAAATTATTAATATTAAATTCATAATATTATTATTATCCATCTCATTATACTTAAGCAATTTAATATTTTCAAAAATTTTAAATTCAAGATTCCTAATTTAGTTGTAATTCAATGCGCCCAATTTGTTTACGGATATTCTGACCATCAGCTGTGGCTAGCAAATAAAAACGTGGAAATTATGTTACTATGAATTTTGATAAAAACACATCCATAGCCACGCAAGGATGTCGATAATTAGTAAAAAGAATCTGATTGCATTAATTAGAGTTCTGGATGAAAATGTACAAGAATTTTGTGATTCATTCTATTATATTTCTAGTTGAAATGATCAGAATTCTGATATATCAGAATCTTCTGGTTCATCCATTTTCAATCAGAAATTGTTTTCAGTATACGATGAATGAAATCACAAGCGTGTCGCATGCGCGAACGACGCGGATGTTTCTCGGTCACGTTATTTCTGTTAACGTTTACTCATAAAACGCGCCTCGCAATCACGCGCTTGCAACACCCACTTGGCGGTTTATGAAACGTGTCCCGAATTGAGAGCGCGCGACTAACTCGCGGAGGGCACAAGACCTCCTCCTTCCCTCCCTTACTTCACTCCTGCTCCCCCCCCCCCCATCCAATGTCCGCACTGTCCACGGGAGTAACGACAGCGGATCTCTAATGAACGGGTCGGATCCGGATCGGTCGAACGACCGATTGATATGCGCCACTGGTTGCGACGTGAGATTCTTTATCGTCGCGTCCCGAGCACCGTTAGGAAAGTGCGTGGTGTGCTTGTATGCAGGCCGAAGCAAGTTCATAAACGCTATTGAGTAACATCCGCATCCGTCTTGTTGTCCGTAGGAAGCAGCAACGTAAGAATTATCGCGACGCGATTAATAGCCGTAGATGCTATTGTAACTTAATCGAGGTGTGCAACGTGTAATTCCTCTTTCGGAATCGACAATCACTATTGTGGTCATCGGATCGAGTCTTTATCAACCTATATGATTATCCTTAGCCTCGTCGTTGTTCTGATTATATTAATCGACAATGATTTCATTCAATTAATATTTTTGGCTGATTCTTATGTATTTTTTAATGTTGATTTTGAAAGTGAGATTAGAATTTATATCTTGCTTAAATTTTTTGTTTCCAACATATTTCTTTTTCAAAACTTATATAGAAATTAATCAAATTTTATATACATACTAATGAAATAAATAATAAATATTCCTGCAAAAGTTTATTCGGATCCACTGATTTATTAAAATGTTATTGACGAAAAATTGCAGCAAAATATACTCATTTTGCCATAAAACCATTATAACTCAAATTGTTCGTTTTGTTTTTTGCAATTGTTTCAGGACATATTCACGAGCTATAATATCGTCAAAATTTTTTTAATTATTAAAAATAAATGTTAAGAAAAGCTATGAACCAAATAACAACAAAATAAATATGTAAATATAAGAAACAAATATAATTATCACGATCTAAAGCAAATAACAAATAACAGATAAACTAAATTAAATTTAAGTATATTAATTTAGTTTATCTGTTCTATTTAATTATGTTTATATATAACATTGAAGATGACCCGATCGGGCTCGAAACAAGGTCTGAGATTTGTTATTTGCTTGAGATCATGATAATTATATTTGTTTCTTATACATTTACACATTTACTTTGTCGTTATTTGGTTCACAGCCTTTCTTAACATTTCTTTTTAATTTGTATTATTGAACCATGTTATATGATGCATTTTTTAAATTATATTGGCTGATTGTTTTAACTAAATTTATCTTCTGAATATTTTTTGTATGACGTCTATGATGCAACGAGCATTGGCGTATGCAAAAGACATGCGATGAACGAAAACCGGTGGCCGCCGTCAGCGATGTTTCGAGTTTCAAGAGGTCGCCGTGAAGGAGAAAGGGAAGCTACGAATTGCCACGGCTGCGTGGTACCGCTTCACACGGCGAACACACCTGCACTCTCGGCAGGCACGGTTGTTATTGTCGAATTTTTCTCGTGCCACAGATATTTTCATAGCAACGGAGAGGGGATCTGCAAATCGTTACGCCGCGCCGGCGGCCAAGATTTCAACCTGTCTCTGTCGCAACGTAATCCGCGCGCGGATGTTCATTGCGGTGTACCTTTCATCTTTCTATCTCGCCTAATCTTTCTGCGAATGACTACAAGAGAGATTTTGCAAAATTAGAAGCGACTCTTTTTCCGCATTTTTAACTGCGGTGGTTATTGATATATTTTTTTGTCTAATCTAGACGTATTAATAAAAAAAAATAGAGAGAGAGAGAGAAAGAGAGAGAGAAAGTACAATATAAAATATTTAAATATTTTGCTTACTACGTTTTAAAAATTACAGTCCAATTCTCCGATTAATCTTTGCAGGGAAGCTACATGGTGTAAGAATATAAAGGCTATATTCCAAAATTTATCGCCAATATTGAAAATCTATCTAGTGTACGTAACGTAAACTATAGATTTTCAGTACTGATAATAAAAAATTGTGAAACGCAGTCAAAGTATTCGATATTAGGTAAACTAATAGAACAACTAATCGTATGCTTATCTCAAAGTTAACGTTAAATTTAAATACAGTATTGATGAAAATATATATAACAAACATATAGACAAAATTAAAATTCTATCTGCTGTGGCTATGAAAATTCAAAACATTTTATTTATTATTATTTATGTCTGCAGTGTCTATATTTTTAAATCATTCAAAACAATCTTTTAATGCATCTACAATCTAATATACAACAGCCAAGAGTAACCATGTTGCTTTTTTCTTTTTTTAAAATTTAGAGCGGCATTTTGATTGATCAAAGAATAGCCGCTGTGTTTTGAATGGCTGCGTTTGGGAGTGGAATACCTTATATTTTTATATCATAAAGGAAGTCACTATAATGTTAAAACAATGTTATATTTTGAAGCAAAAATACAATGATTCATAAAACGTAAATCTTATTAAAGAAAAAACTGTAAGATTTTTAAAATAAAAAATCTCTCCCTCTGTCCTCTAAAGGTTACTTTATAGAGTAGATTTTTTTGTTAATAAATTTTACTCTTTTAAAATATTTGTAAAATTAATATATAAGTTTTCTCCCACGATTTCCATGTACATTGTTCTATTATCGCATATATTTATATCTATTATTATGTTTATTACGATCTGGATAGTGTAATATTTTCGAAAGAGATGCAATAATAGATCGCTTTTACTTTTACATTTATCTAAGAATTGCAAAGAGAAAATGTAAATATCGCTCGATAATCGTGCCGCAAGGATGAAAATCGTTTCGAAAACGAGCATTTCCTTCGCTGAGCCTCACGCTTTGCAAAAGAATCGAGGATTTAGCCGAAGGCAAGAGACGACGCCTTCGTGCTCGAACGATCATCATCGGCGACGTTCGAGTTACGGTATCCAGCATACCGATCTGTTCTGCCTTAGAGACACTCTAGGCTACACATTCTGCCTGCTCGCTTGCTTGCCTATACCGCCTCTATTCGTCCTACTCGTAGATCTACATGCCTACGAGAAGACCACGATCGTGAATAATTCAGCGTGCGTCACCTTGAGCGACGAGCGCGTGTAGGCAGAGAAAAGAGGAACCTCTTTGGCACTCAGCACGTCGTCGTGTCGTCGTCGTTGTCGTCGTGGTACTCCTCTCCTTTTCGTAGAACCACGTGCGGACAAATTCGTAATGTCCTGCGTCGAGTGTCCGAGTGATCGTTACGTTGAATACGAACGACCGGCAGCGATTATCGTTGAGCACAACGAACACGTCGGACGAGCGTTTTCCCCGTTTGCCTGACGGTGCAGTTAATGAACAATAAGGAGGCTGTTATTGCTGTTGTTATTATTATTTGACAATACTTACGCGCTTTTACTACTGCAGACGCGTCGAGAACGCAATAAAAAAAGGTGAAATAAAGGTTGCTCATTGTCTTGAGCTGTGAGAACGCTCGTTAGAAAGACAAGATAAATAAATTATTGCTTTTGATCTGTGACGTTTTAATGATTTGTAAACTATCAGATTTGATGGATTTATGGTCGTGACTGTGTTAAAAACATAGAGATTTGTATAGAAGCTTCTCTCTTAGTTGACAAGTTTACAAAAATCAAGTTTGTACGTAGGTGAAATCAATCAAGTAACTTTTATATATATATATCACCTTGATCTTTGAAAGTAAAATTAAGGTCACTTATTAACTCTATAATAATCTATCGTATACACTATAAATAGATTTTTATATGATTCTAATATAATTGATAACATATATGATCCAATTATTTCTTCGTATTGCAATTTCAGAATTTCTGCAAGGGCTCGTAAAGGTTTCTTTCTCAAATATTAATAAAAAAAAAACGTATATCTTTTACGATCCTGTATAATTCTCTGATAATATACAATATTCTCGCAATATTCTTAACGTTTCGTTCTTCGACAGTGCTTTCCGAAAGCTCGTAAAAGTATCTGTTTCTCTCTCGCTTTCTCATAATTGACGGGGACCGACAAGAATTAATTTAAAAATAGAGCAAGGGCTATTGTTTATGGTCTCTCCTAAAGTTCTGATAACACACGGCGTCTCGTTAATCTCACGCTTCACGATCAGTTAATGCTTTCTTCGAAGTATCACAAAGCTTTCTCCTTCGAGTCGATCATAGGTATCATGCGTTCAACAAGACTGCGTCATGCAATCGATGAGTAATTTAAATTCAATTTATCCGGATTTAAATCTAGATTTTAATCGCTCTGTGTTGCACGAACTTTAATTTTAGCTATTTAGAAAGCCTACTCCTTATAAACGGACGGCAGTCTTATTATAATGTGCAATGTGTGCGCTGTGTAAAAGGGTTAATTACCGACATATAAAAAGAGAGATAGAAGGAGAAAAAGAAAGTGAGAAAGAGAGAGAGAGAAAGAGAGAAACTTTGAAGTGCGGTATACGAAGAATGCTCCATTATGCCAAACGCGTTTTACGTCCGCATCAACCGAGAACGCGGAGCGGTCTGGGAAGTAGTCGGCGCTACAGAGAAAGTGGTCCCAATGTGAAATAATAAAACGCACGGTACGTGATTTTATCCCGTCTTCACGTAACCGCTGATATGACTTTTAAACAGCCAGAAATTGCCTGAAAGTGCGGATGTGTAACGCGCGGCGAATTTAACACCGATGGCGATGGTGACCAGGCGTATTACGTTTTGTTTCTCCTTTCTCCCTCGCGTGAATCCACGAGAAATTCACGAACGAGACATTTCATGCGGTACGAGACCGAACAATGTTATAGGCGATGATAATCCATTCAGAAACGAGTTTTTCTGTGTGTATGTCTCGTACATAGCAAAAATATTTTATATAAATTGTGTTAGAGATGATCACTCACTTTATTAAAATTTATTGTTAAATTTTTAACATATCCGAATATTAATTTTACATAATATAATTATGTCATTTGCCTATTCTGTGTTAAATTGATATTCAATATTCCTTAGTATCAGAACAACATAATTTATAGACAAATGCAGAACGAGTAATAAAAAATAATAGCAATAAATAAAAATAATGTATTTTAAAACGTAAATTCTAAGATAAATAAATAAAATAAATAAAATTTTAAAAAAGTATTAAGTTAATATATATTATAAATTAATTTATAACATGTTTTACAGAAAAAATAAGCTTCTATATGGAACGCATAATTTTGCTCAATATGTAAAAATTTTTTTTAGCTATAGATACAGATCTGAAAACAATTTTGTTAGTTCAAAATAATTACAATACATAGAAAATTTAAGCGTGATGAATAATATACAAAAAGTTTTGTCATTTTAACAACCAGCTTGAGCGTCCTATATGTAATTATTTTAGTAGTTCAATTAAATTACTTTCAGATCAATTTAAATTTGTCGATACTTCGGCAAAATTATTCTTTCTGTATGCACTAAAAAAAAATAGCCTAAATTTAAATACATACTTAAATAAATATTTATTTGGATACCGCCAACGGCACCAACTAAATTTACTTACAATAAATAAATATTTACTTAATAAAAAAAGTAATTGTTAAATCAAATTAATTGTTTTTTTTGTTTACCAAATAAATATATTTTTATATTTAATAAATATTTAGTACTATTCAAATAAATATTTTATTGAAATTTAGAATATATATATTTTTTTCTCAGTGTGGGTTTCGACACTATGTTACTTTATTTACATTATTATAAATCGATAAAAAATTTCGATTTCATTGCTATAATGCGATAAAAAATTTCAAAGGACTCGTAAAAACTTAACTTACCCTGTGTGGATAGGCGAGGTGCCACGTGACATTAAATTTGCTTCCTGCCAGTAACGATGTTTTGACGTGGCCTGAAAAACAATATTTGAAATCAAAATTAGACTATGACCATAATCTTTTGAGTAAAGTGAGATCGGTATTAATAAATAAAGTAAAATATCGCGTTCCGCATCGACGATTGATTCTGAAATTTCATCGCCGTTAAAAGTTACGAGGCCTGATTTTGGCCTCGTTCGAGTTTGTCGCAACCTGTTTGGCCGAAGGCCACGTATCGCTAACGCCGATAAGTCGCAATCTAACACTCTAAAAATGTGTATGCTCGTCACGGGATATTTCTGGCTTATTAATTTACATTCAGCCTTTTACTGAAGTATCGAGCATTCTATCAAGCTTTTCAAACGAGACGAAACTTTGAAATCAATCTGTAGGAGAGAGCGAAGAAATTGTGGACGCAAAATAAACGATATTATTGCGGTATATTAGAGTAGCGATAATTTCTCATTTCTCATTATATCCAGTGATAATCCGATATATATGTTAGTATCATTTAACACGTGATCATAGAACGCTGTTCTAATGAAGATACACCATTTACATGTTTTTGATGATTTTAACATAAGGGAAAATAAAATATTTGCGAATACTTAAAGCAAAAGTAAAATACAGCCGCCGATTATTTATTATTTATTATAAAAAAATTTTTTATTCAAAGAATTGACATATAGTATTAATATAAGCTATAATTTTAAACAAAAAACAAAAACTGATTCGACCTTAATTTGCGTGACGATAAAGATTTTGTTTTTTATTCAAAATTACAGTTTTTTATTCAAAATTACAGTTTGTACAGATAATTTATAAATGTTAATTATTATATATAATTTAAAGATAAATGATTAGAATATCTACTTTTGAATATTATTAATTGATAAAATTATTAATTGATAAGTAACGGCAGCTTTATTTAACTTTTCTTTAGGTATCGGCAGTTCCCCCATTTTCCCTTAGACTACATAAAATTTCACCGCTCGCTTTAAGAAAAAGAATTACATAAAACAGATGATCTATTACGTGCGTAAACGAATTTAATCAAGCATATACATTTCTTGAAGCTTGAAGATTTATTGAATGGATATTCTGCTAATATTTGATCTTTGAGAGATTTCGAAAGAAATTAGAAACAATATATTTTCCTGTGCAATATAATCGCTTTTCAATCAATATTTTACGTCATATTTCAGCTTTCTTTTTATTATAATGATTATTTAAGGAAAAAGAGAACAGTCTGATATCATAGAACGTCAAATCCGTGAAGTTTACGCTTTAATTTAATATAAATGCAAATAATTGATTACCCTCGGTACTGTTTTAATCAACTTTCCGGTATTACTGTAATATCGGTCTCTTCCGCTTCCCCAAGTCTACGGAAGGAAAGCGATTCTTCTCTTCTACTGACCGAGCAGAGCCGTCAGAGCGGCTCGATTAAATTATAACCGCAGAAAAAAAAATTTATTGCCGCGTTCGCACAGTCGGTATGCGTTAGTGCAATCGCGAAGGTAGTCAAGTCAAACCGCGGCTAGTTTTAGTTATTATAATTCAGAATTGAGTGTGAGGTAAGGCAACATTAATAAAAATTACGAGGGAATATTCAGATGGATTTCATACCCGCAGCGACAAAAATTTTCAGAATCTTTCCCACACACAACAGTGCTGAAGTAAAGATTTAGTTATAGACACAGATTAGAAAATAATTTCGTTAGACTAAATAATTATGTAGGACGTTTAAGCTGATTGCTAGCATAAATTTTTATAGTATTGCTCATCGAGCTTTTTACATACATAATTATTTTTGATGGTTCAACAAAATTATTTCAAATCTGTATCCAGCTAAATTTTTAGATACTTTCAAAAGCAAAATCGTCTTTCCGGTAGAAAGAATGATTCTTCACAGTTATTTCTTATTCAAGAAATTATACAATAATTACAATTAAAAATTGGACAGACTTTAGATAAAAATATACTTTCTTCTTCTATTTCCTAGCGGATTTTTCAATTATTGAATAAGAAACAAGCTAAACATCAAGAATACAATAATACGTAATTGGACTACTTATTGAAATAGTATTGGCAAATGAGAAAGATACAATTGCAATCATTTAATTCGTTAATTGTAGTTGACGTAAATGTCACTACGCAATCACACGCACTTACGTAGCGTGACGCGCGCATTCGAGCTGTAATTTTCTACAACCGGTTACGCGACTTTTTCGCAATTTCATGCGACGCGTGAGAGAATGAGTAGCGTGGTACAAATTAATCACTTCCCCGATAATGAGCGAGGAGGTGGATAAATGAGAGCGATGGGGTTAGCGCACAGAAAGAAATCTCCACGAAGAAGACTCTTTTTTTCTCGAGCTAACGAATAATTCACATTACCTACACGAGAGAGAATAATGATATCTCTCTTTTCTCTGCCGTTGCACAATCCGTGCGGCACCATCTACGGCGTAGTCTTAATTACGCTTTCGCAAGGAAAAATGTGGGGGAGAAGGGAGCATCGATGACACCGAGCAAGGTAATTGCGACGATTTCACGTTGTCGCGCGATGCAACAATGTGAAAACGCCGAATGTAATAATTATGATCTACGTTTTCTCATGGCAGCTTTCCACCTCGTTGGCTTTACCATTTTAGATCGAATTAGTTCCAAAAGAAGATTAAAAAAAAAGTAAGAGTCCCAAAAGAGAGTAAATAACAATACTCCCCCTCTCCCTCCTCCCTCCCAGTTTTTCGATATATTTCTTGTCGCGAGAATGATGCATCAAGAAGCATGATTGAGAGTTCTCTGTTTTAACTTTTTCACTGCGACCCTTAAAAAAGAAAACATACAGAAGAAATAGTTTTGTTATTTTAATGCAGACCTGATTTTATTGGAAACATCTGTTAAAAATAATTTTTTTAAATTCAATTTAAGGACATTTTAATAAATTAATTCATACTAAACAATTTTTTTCAAAATATTGACTCTTTCAAACGTATAAGTGATCTCAGATGAATTAAAGAAATTCAACAGATAATGTCTTCAAATTTAAACATTGTATTATATAATACAATGTACATAGAGTCTGAAAAGATTAAAAATGTAACTCAACACACACACACACACACACACACACACACACACACACAGATCTAAAAATAATTTTGTTGCTCTAAATAATTACGTAGGATGTACTCAAGCGTAATAAGGAATATTACAAAAAATGTTGACATTCTAGTAATTATCCTGACTATCTTACATAACTATTTTGATGGATCAACAAAATTATTTTCAGATGTGTATCTAGCTAAATTTTTTAATTTCATTCCAGCAAAATTTTTCTTTTCAAGGGCCAAAAGCGCAAAAAGTTAAAATGAAGAATTCTTGATTGTGTGTAGAAATATAAAATCCTATTTTTCTTAGCGCAGAAAATGAAATATTTATTTAATTATTAATGCTACTTTCATATCTTGCCCATCTCTTGCATCTTATGTGCATTCAATCTCGCAGATATTCTTTCTTCGGAGGGGAAAGAAGGTCAAGTTGCGATCTTCCTTAACTATCACGGTCAGTTTCGCTCTTCCCCTCTATAGATGCGGCCCTGGGTATCAGCGGTTAGGTACGCGTAAAACATGAAAGGTAATGCCCGCGAATACCGAGAGGCTCGCGCTCCCTTCATGCAAGCTGGTGAAAGTCGCTTCGAATCGGACTGACTGGCGACGACGTCGGCGGACTGTATCCCTCTACCGGGAGAGGGAGATCGAGCGTCCGCTTTAATGTCGTTTTCCCATAGATAGAAACCCGTGCCCCCTGCACACCATACATTCAACCCTCCCGCTCTCTGTTCCATTCCAATAGACAAGGAGCGCGCGACTCTCGTACGAAAAGTGCCTTCGCCGCGGTTTCCACAAAACACGAGGTACTCTCGATCAACTTCCGACTCTCAGAAAACTCTAATTCTTGTTTTCCCGTGTGTATTACACTGCTGTCTCCCGTACGATTCCGACATTTCATCGAAAGCTGAATATTGCTGAAATATCTAAAAATTTAAGTGTATCACTGAGAAAAATGTCTGGTTGAAAATATTGTAGACGCACCAGAAAAATTGTGATCAGAATTCCGGTTGTCATAACTAGAATTTAATAGATTTAACAAGACACAATTCTTTATTTATCCAATTTCAATTAATCCTAAACATTTTTTTTTAAGGTACAGATCTGAAAATGATTTTCTTGGATGATCAAAATAATTATATAGGAAATTCAAACATGATGCTGCTTATTATGACTGTCAAAAAACTTTGACATTCTAATAACTAGCTTTCTACATTATTATTTTAATATTCTAACAAAATTTATTCTCTGCAAATTTCTAGCTAAATTATCAGAAATTATTAGATATTTCATCTAAACCGTTTTTTCTGTGAATACTTTTCGAAAAGTGCTCAAGATAATTAACATTTCGCAATGTTTGGTGTTATATTTTGTGTCCTAAAAATAATTAAAAATTCGGTTTCGTTATTAATAAATTAATTTTCGTATTTTAAATATATTTCGTCAAACTTTTGTGTATTTTAAATTTTTGACAAAAAAATTAGATCTACACATTAAATAATTTTCTCGATAACGATGATAGATACGGCTTCAACGTAAGACTTTTTTCATAAATTTTCAAGAGTGGAAATAATCTTCTGGCATTATAACGTATCTGACATCGTTTTCCAGATAACAATAGTTTGTCTATATCTACAGTGCCTAACTTTTCTGTCAATGTAAAAATACGTAAAAAATTTTTGTTTTTTTTAAATGTAAAAAAGTTTCTATTGTTTGTTTTTCAGAAATAATTAGATTAAACAACATATATTTTCCAATTAATACATCTCTTTGTTCTCTAAGAATTTGATTCTAAACTAAGGAATTTTTGCAATAACGTGAACGTCCAGATACGATGAACGCTAAAGTCATGTTATTCTTTTCTTAATTAGTTGTTAAGAAGAAGACAATCTGGTGACCTTAGCGTTCACCGTATCTGAATAAACGCTATTGCAAAAACTCTCTACTAACTATTAAGATTTCCATAATTAATTAAGATTAATTAATTATGTAAAATTAAGGTAAATACTTAAAATCTGAAATATATCATACACTCGGACTAATAAGGAATACTAAGTACAATAATAATAATATTCTTGAGGTTTCCATGAGTGCTTTTTATAAAGATTATGCGTTTCGCCGATTTTCTCTGTGTCTAGACCCATTCTTGGAATGCCAACGTTTCGTAAATCTTTTCCAGTCCGCTTTATTAGGGCGAGGAGCAGCCTGATACTCCCCTGAGCTATTCCTCACTCTGATGAAGTGGACTGCAAGGTTGGCATAATAATAATAATGATTTAGTAGCACTCACCACGTGGCATGCCGCACGGTGCTGGCGTTCTGGCATTATCTAGGAAGTCCAGATCGTAATGCCTTGCTGGCGGGAATGTCAGAGCCACGTGAGCATGAGCAATTCGCCAGAACGTCATCGTTATTAATGTCATCAGCAGCGTCATCAGGAACGACGCGAGGAGCGTCGAGCGTTCCGTTCTTAGCGACATTTTTTTCGTGGAAGCTTGTTTTCGCAAGGGAAAATAGTCTCTGGCAAAAAAATGACACACTCTTTACGTTTCTGTGTCTTTTATCAGTGATTTTTGCTCGCACACTCCTGAGATCCGCCTGCTACTGCTATTGCTACTTCTGAGTCCTTCCACCCTGCCCGGCATGAGCGAGTCCAGTCGTTCCTGCTCACTTCGGTGAGGCCGATCTGAAAGTCGAACGATGAACTTTGTTATTTACAATTGATCGCCGATCTCAATTATCGATCGGAGTAACAGTCGTATTTTCTCGGGATCTCGATATGAAAAGCGTATTCAATGCGATAAATGTTATTATGAATTTATATGATGTATCCGATTCTCGTTTGTATTACCTTTAGAGCTAAACTTATGATAATTCAAACATCATACAGAAAAAGAGAATTAAAAATATCTAAATTTACCTTTTGTATTTCTTAGATATCCAAAGTTTTCTCTATACAATAAATTTAAAGTTTTTCTAAGATAAATTTTCCCAAGAGTTAACTAAATGAAAAATTTTGTTTAAACCAAAATAATTATATAGGATACTTAAACTGATTGTTAGAAACTTTTTTTATAACGTTGTTATCAATACTTAAACGTTCGTCATGATTTATTTTGATGATCCAACAAATTATTTTCTGTATTTACAATTTTTAGCAAAACCGTGCAAGAATTGTAAAGCATAAACAAAAAAAGAATTTTAAGTTCATAATTTTATAAAATTTATTTTGTTTCAAACACTCAGACCTATTCTATTTGAAGATCATCGATCACGTAATCTCTTCTCTCAAAAGTGAGAAGGTAAACAGTGAAAGTTTCGCCTCAAAGAAGAACGGTAAGGAATGAAAATCTTCACATGGATTTGCCGAAATGATGCTTGAACAACTTTTTTTCGGCGCGCAAACACGTAAGAATTGAATTGGAGGAGAGATTTGTTCGAAAGAGACGAAAAGGTGAAAAGTGAAAAATGGAAACGTTTACGTGCAGATTGCACGATTGAGTGCCTGCCCGGTCGTATGTTAATTCATCCGTTCGCGAAGACGCGTGGGAAATAGCTCATGTGAAGATAGATACGCTTATACGAAGAATCGGCAGAAAGAAGATGCATGAGTGCCGTAACCTTGCCGTCATACTGCGTTTTGTTCGCAATAACGCAACACTTTGACTTATACATCAATTTAATTTTATATTACATTAAATTAAAATTCCATGCGTCACATTATTTCGAAATAGACAAAAAAGATTTTTCTTTAGCATTTTTGCCAAATGTTGCATATAAATAAAAAAATAAATTATACATATATTAAATATATTGAAAAATCTATAATTCGTGAAATTGTTACTATATACGATTTCAAAAGAGTGAGATAGCTCGAATCATATCGCTTTCTCTCCTCTTATCTTTCTATCTCAGTGTAGATAAAAAAAAAAACAGATTTAGTAATAGTGAAATTTCCATACTTTATCAAGATGCTACTAGATAGAAACCTACGTAAATACATTCACAAACACGCCTGCCAGTTCTTCGATAGCTTTCGCCATGTTAGGCGCTTGTTTCTTTGCACAACTCCAATGTCCGTTAATCGGTGATGATGTACGTCGGCATGCCAGGCACGAGAACGTAATAATTGCAAAATAAACACGTAACGAGTGGATCAGAAGAAGAGCCTGACGTATGCGGCAAGTGCAAAAGAAGAAGGAGAAGCAACAGCTTACTTTTCCTCGACTCGCTATCGATCTTCGCGATCGTACTTTGCGAGCTGAGATCTTGCAGATCGTATAATTCGAAGGATACCCGATCTCTTACATGAACATCCTCTTTGCCACTACCATCACCTCCTCCTCCGTTTCCGTTGTCGAGACAGAAGGATGTGCGTAGAAAAAGTTCCGAGAAAGTCGCCAGGATAAACGAAAGAGGAAAGAAAGAGGTTGAATGTGTTTAATGTTTGCGCGTCAGAGAGATGTCGAACAATAAAAGTTATTAAATAATATTAAACTAATGTATCTCATAGAATTAAACATGTGAGTATATACAATCAATAGCAGATAAATGCCTTTTAACGAGTCTAACTGGATTTTAAGTGCTCTCTCTTTTAATTCTATGTAAATTTATATATTACGTGTAGTTCTTCAAACTACGCGCCGATATGATTTTTCAGTCCTGAAGTGCAAACTCCATTTATTTATTTCCAACTGCAGTTTTATATACACATATATATATATATATATA